ACCAGGGGACAATATCTAATCCACTCCCTTTTCGTTCCCCAGTCCACTCCTCTTCGATTGAACCACCACGTTCCGTCTCCAACAAAACCTTCAAGTATACTGTGGCCAAAACCACAAACCATCAAAAAAGGTGACCTTTCTGGCCAAAACCTGCAAACCACCCTTATCCGATCAAACTACCACCAAAAGTGTGACCTCTCCGGCCAAAATCCGGTAAGTCATAAACCACCCTTCTCCTATCAACCCACCCCCGAAAACGTGGCCTCTCGTGTGCTTTCCGTGTTAGGGTTGTCCAAATAGAGTGCAATTGCTCCCAAGGGGAAGGGGAAGGAGGGAGAAGGTTGACGACAGGAAGGGGAGGAAATGTGACGGTCGGCGGCCGCAAGGAGAGGAAAGTGAAGGTCTATGGCCGGTGGCCTGAAATATGTGAAAAATTTCTATTAAAAGATATAAAAAACAATAGGTTAGACGTAAATCAATAGAAATAAGAAGAGCCGATGATATAGAAAAACTAAACGTAAATAGAGTTTAGGTTAATAATTGTATTTGTTTTTTTCTCTAAAATTAGAGCTCTCTACTTTTAAAGTCAAATATTTTTTGTTTTTAATATATATATATATATATATATATATATATATTGAATTAATAAATTATATTAATTTTTAGTTTTGGAAACATGAGTATAATTTAAAAAAGAAGAAAATAGAATAAAATTGTAAAAAAAATATGATATTACCATGCCTTAATGGAGCATCACTTAGTGGAGTTAGGACAATAGACTCGTCCATAACAAAAGTAAAATCACGATGACCATAATTTCAGTTGGAGGACCTAATTCAGAATTTTCAATAACCAAAGGGACAAAATTTGTAATTTACTCTAATCTATATTTTATAAAAACAATACTAAAAGAAGAAATTACCCTTACATGCTCGACAGTCGACACATTCATTTAACGGGGTTGCTTAGAGAAAATGACCAAACCCAAAGCAAGATGTAAGTTACAAGGAAGTTTTTGTCATTTTTAATATGTAGGGACTGAATGTATAAGATTTGGAAACCACAAGGATGAAACTTGTAATTTTCTTAAACAGTAGTTTTATTTAATTTTTTAATGGTGAATTATGGATTTGGTAGAAATGGTATTCAATTTGTCTTGATCATGGTCCCTCTAACTAACACTCTTAAAATAAGTTGGTCAATTCAGTTAAATAAAGGTGGTTTCGGTCTTTTTGCCTATTTATTGTTATTTTCTATTACAAAAGGTAAAAACAATATTTATATATACATATACACACATGGGGGTTAAATCTTGTAAAGATCCATCTTAGTTATTAATTTAATCTGATCTATAGTTATGAAAGACGATGATATTTTTGTAAATTTTTAATTTGAAACTAATTATTAGATAAATGACAAGTTGAAACGAACATTCTAAGCATTTGACATCAAATCTATAGTCAACAATGACGGCTATCAAAATTATATTAATTATAATAAATTATTAAATCAAAAATATATTAATTACAATAAACTTTTGAATAAAAAAGTTTATGTAAAAAAAGAGAATGAACATTTTATCTTCTCTAATTTGACACGAGTATCATTATTATTTTTATATTTTTTAATAATTGTAATTTAAATAATAAAAACCATTTAACTTGTATGTTATTTCACCTTCTGAAACAACATTTTAGTATTTCACATCACATTTCACGTCACTTTTTTGTTTCTTTTCACATGATAAAACAATACTACATCGTTTCGTTATGTGAAACAACACTACGTTATTCACATTGTGTTGTTTCATAATATGAAACAACAGTTTAATGTTTTTTACATTCCATTTCACGTCAACTTTTGTTTTCTTTTGTTCTCGAACTGTGAAACAACACTATATTCTTTCACATTGTGAAACAATAATTATTGTTTAACACTAGTGACATTATGATGTTTCACAATATGAAATAACACTTTAATGTTTCACTTTCACTTTCGCATCAATTGTTTTGTTTTTACATTGCTTGACAACACTAATTTTCTTTCACTTTAGCGATATTCTATTATTTCATTGCGTGAAATAAAACATTGGTTTTACATATGATGTTTTAGTTACATTTCTTCATATTTACTATATTTTGTTTTCTCATATGATTTTATTATTTAAAATACTCAAATATATTTATAAAAAATAAATTTTTTCTATACGTTAACAGTAATAATGTATATGTCAGAAAGTAGACTGAAAATTAAATTAATAATAACTTGATTCTTATTTCGGGTAAATTACTTTTAAAACTTTCATTTTGGTACCTAAGATGTAAGATTTTAAACATTTAAGTATTCAGGTAACCAGTTGAAGTATTAACCGGTTAAAACTTTACATTTTAGGTACCAAAATGGAAGTTTTGAAACTACGTTATCTAAAATAAGAATCAAGTTCAAATATGTTAGTTTTTCATGCAATTTGCCCTTAATAATAAACTAAACTAAAGAAATGTAAAAGATTATTATCAATTAAAAAAATTAAAATATCATAGTATTACATGTAAATTACATCGTATGAGATTGAATTAAACAAAATAATAACTTATTCTAAATTTTGATATAATAAAAAGGGAAATGAAAAAAAAAATTATCATCATATTCTTCCTTATTATATGAAACATTAATTAAGGTTGTTGGATTGGAGTCATTTTGAATGATTTATATCTATACTATATTATAAAACATTTGACAAAAACTCTTAAAAATCATTTTTTTATGCATGAAGTACTGTTTATTGATGCATATTACTTAAAATCCAATATTACAAGTAAATTTTATATAAGTACAACTTATTAAAACTCTATGTTTGAATTCGTGTAACTAACTGCGGATAAACATCTCATTTTAAAATATAAAAAATCTAAAATATAATTAGAATAATTATTGAGTTCTGACATAATACTTAATTATCATTTTTATAAAAAAATATTATTAAACCTAAATTAAGTTACTTCGTTACGATAAATTGAATTTAAAAAAAATACACAAATAAAAACTTTTTAAATAGTTAATTTGACACTAATATTGATATATTTTTTTGCAAATTTTATATGATATTTTTAAATTTATATTTTATTTACTCAAAACCATATAAAATCGTATTATATCGACATAGATAAAAAATAAAACGAAACATTGAAATCGAAATATGTCTCGATGCATTGCACAAGTACCCTTCTATCTATACTATTTATAAAGCATTTGACAAAAACTCTTAAAAACCACTTTTTATGCATAAAGTATTGTTTATTAATACATGTTACTTAAAACTCAAGGTTACAAGTATATTATGCATAAGTACAACTTATTAAAGCTCCATATCTAAATTCGTGTAACTAACTGCATATAAAAATAATCAAATACAGGATAAACATATGATTTTAAATATAAAAATTCTAAAATATAATTAAGATAATTATTAAGGTCTAACAAAATACTTAATTATTATCTTTATAAAATGTTATATTATTAAACCAAAAATAAATTATTTTATTATTAAACTTAAATTAAATCATAATAAAAAAAATTAAAGAAATTACATAAAAAATGAGAACTTTTAAATAGTTGATTTGATATTAACATTCATATTTTTTTTTCAAATTTATATTTTATTCAAAAATAAATTTATTATTGCTTTCTTAAAAACACATAACATTGTATTATAACATCAACAGAGACAAATAATAAAATAGAACATTAAAATCGAGATGTATATCGCTCAATTGCGCGAGTACCTTTCTAGTTATATTATAAAACATTTGACAAAAATCTTAAAACCTATTTTTTATGCATAAAGTACTGTTTATTAATGCATGTTACTTATAACTCAAGATTACAAGTAGATTGTATGTAAGTACAACTTATTAAAGCTCCATATCTGAATTTGTGTAACTAACTGCAGATAAATATAATCAAATACAATATAAACATCTCATTTTAAATATAAAAAATCTAAAATATAATTAGGATAATCATTGAGTTCTAACAGAATACTTAATTATTATCTTTATAAAATGATATATTATTAAATCAATAATAAATTATTCATTTTTAAACTTAAATTAAATTATAATAAAAAAAATTGAAAAAATTATATAAAAAATRARAAMATTTAAACAGTTGATTTGATATTAACATTGATATAATTTTTTTCAAAATTTTATGATATCTTCAAATTTATATTTTATTTAAAAATAAAATCATTATTTTTTTTTAAAAACACATAAAATCGTATTATAACATCGACATAGACAAAGAATAAAATAGAAAATTAAAACCGATATGTATCTCGTTACATTGTGCGAGTATCCTTTTAGTTTTTCAAAATGGATATAGTAGGAGAGAATGTGTAAATTTCTCAAAATTTAGACATCTCTTAAAATAATTATCGTGAGAGAAAAATGGTTTCTTTTTAATTGAATTTCATCAATGGGTAACTAACATTGAAATGAAATGTTTACGAAAAAATAAATAATATTTAATTAAATATGTAAAATATTTTAATAATATAATTAATGATATAATTTTTAAAATAAATAATTTGTTAAAGTTAAATGTAATTTTTTAAAGATTTTGAACTTTAATTCTTGATAATTAATTAATTAAAAAAAATTATTGACTGAATTACAAGAAAAGTATGTTATTATCTTTTGTAAAAGTCACAAACACACATGCCTTAGCTGTCAAATCGTATAATTAATTAATTACAGGGATGGAGATATTTGGCTAAAAAGTCTAAAATACATAACAGCTTTTGGATTCGATCAAAAGTTTCCATTAATCTCAACAGTGAATCTCCATCATATTGATTGGTGTCTCTCATCAAAAACGGGTTTTATGTTAAGATTGCTGGTAATTAATTTTTACCCAAATTAATTAAAAGTCAATTGTTTTTCCTATATAAATCGGTACCAATCCTTGAAGCTAAACATCAATTTGTCACAAAAAATACCATGACGATTTTCTCCCTTGCCCTTGGGATAACACTAGCCATTCTATACAGCGGCGGTTGTTCTACGGCGATAAACATAAGCGCCGCCGCCGCCGATGCCACTTTTAGCATCGACCTCATCCATCGTGATTCCATCAAATCCCCCTTTTACGATCATGGAATAACCTTTTCACAACGCCTTGGTCGTGCTTTGCAACGCTCTTTTGATAAGGCCAGATGTCTCAAACCAAGCTCATCGACGTACCAAACCCAGATAAGTCCCGATTGGGGGGAGTATCTCATGAACATTTTCATCGGAAACCCGTCGCATCAAATCTTGGCCATCGCAGATACCGGTAGCGATTTGACATGGATACAATGTAGACCTTGCACTCAATGTTATAAGCACACTGGTTCGATTTTTGACCCAAAGTCATCTTCGACTTATAAAGCACTTGGTTGTAAATCGGAGGCATGTAGGGATCCATCATTTCTCGAAACCAATTGCTCATCAACAAAAACTTGTCAGTATACCACCAGTTATAGTGACGGAACTTATAGCATCGGTGATGTCGCTACGGAAACCATCAAGATAGGTGGTCGGACCATCCAAGATATCGTTTTCGGTTGCTCTTTCCGCAACGGCGGTATTTCCCATGAGACCTCGAGCGGTGTTGTTGGCCTTGGCGGAGGAGACTTCTCCCTTGTGTCACAATTACGTACTTTAGTGGCACCCAAGTTTTCATACTGTCTAATCCCATACCCGGTGAACGATGATTTGTCGAAATTGTCCAGTAAACTCGTCTTCGGTGACATAATTAGTTTCGGGTCACAAGTCGTTTCTACTCCGCTCGTCCCAAAATGGCCACGTATGTTTTATTACGTGACGCTAGAAGGGATCAGTGTGAGCGATATACGACTGAAGTATAGCGACTTCTCGAACCCCACAAAGCGGATGCATAAAGGGAACATGATCTTGGATTCAGGTGCAACCTTGACAACGTTACATGATAAGCTGTACCATAAAGTGGAGGCGGCTATCAAGGAGAACCTTAAAAATGTGAGAAGGGTTGAAGACCCGCAAAAGATATTGAGTTTGTGTTATGTTGCTAAAGAAGTGAAGTACGCCCCTAAAATCACGATGCATTTTGAGGGGGCGGATGTCTTGTTGCTTAGACATAACGTATTTGTGCCGGTTGGTGAGCAGGTTATATGTTTAGCGATGGTGCCCACTTCAGATGTTGCCATTTTTGGGAACATCGCACAGGGTAATTTATTGATCGGTTATGATTTAGAAAACAAAAGGGTGTCGTTTCAGCGTACCGATTGTACGAGGTTGAAGGTGTAACTCCATCACTAATCTTGTTTGATTTGGAATAAAGATGTTAAATATTGTATTTTATGGTATCTTTTTTTTTTAAACATAATTAATTTAAGAAGCTTATTTGCTTATTTTGACATTTTTAAATTATCTTTTTATAAAAAAAATTAATGTTTCTTTAAATAAAATATTTTAGAAGATGGGAATATATTTATTGCTTTCTAATTCAACCTTTTGAATTCATTTAAAATAACATAAAGAATTTATTATTACATGAAATCCGTATTCACTTTTTTTTTAAGTCAACAAGCATTAATTAGATTATGGTAAGAAATTTTGAATTTAATAAAAAAAATCACTTATTTATCATTTTTTTAAATGAACGAAGTTAGAGCATATTCCATAGATTTTTTAATTTTGTTTTTAAATAAAGAGTGAAAAATCAAAATCTTCATTTAATTACATTCAAGTTTGCATAATATTTATGTTAGAATAGACTTATATTTTATCAATATAATTTTAAAATAAAACATAATTCTTTTCTAAAACATCAAACAAGCATTTTTTTTACATTTCATTCATTCTTTAAATTTTATTTATTGTATTTTATGTTTTTAAACTTTCATTTTACCATCCTCAAAATACTAATTTTATATGGCTTCTATATTTTTTATTAATTTATGTAATTTATTATATATTAATAATATAAAAAAGAGATAAAAATAAAAATTGAAAACTACATAAACTTTTTATTTGATGTCATTTTAATTGTTTTGATGAAAACTTTATGATATTATATTATGTATAAAAAATAATTATTTTATTATAATTTAATAAACTACATAAATTAATTAAAATGAACAACTCATTAAGAATAAATTGACCATTTTACTTGTTATGTTCTGTCTAGTTCTATCTTACCAAATATTGAACAATTGTCTTGTCCTGTCTAGACACCGAAGACACTCTAAATATAATTTTTAAATACTTAATATAAAATAAAATATTATTTATTTCTTTTAGATATTTAATTTTAACATACTTTTATTGGTGTAAATAATAACTATCATTTTCACTTTTAAATAGTCGTTCTAAAGATTTCTTCAAATTTAATAATTTTTATCTTCACCTCTATCTTTTTTCATTCAAGAGAATATTTTAAAAAATATGTTGAAGCAAGGAAAAAATCTTTTTTTATTTTATTTTGAAGAATCTAACATGTTCTTAATTTACACACACACACACATATAGGGGGTTAGATTGCAAACTGCCTATTTCATGCAAACTATAGAAATCACTATCAAACAATAGAATAATTCTATATTTTTCTCTTTATTTTTAATAAATAAGGGTATGAATGATATTTTAATTTGTAATGGTTAATCTTGGTAATATTTTAATTGTTTTTAAATATGAAAAATTAAATATAATAATTGTTT